GAAAAACACTCAATTTCCCACACTCTCGAATTCATCGTTGACATTCTCGAGTCGTAATCGTTGAGAATACGTCCGAATCATGAGTAGCGTCTCCGACGAGGTAAAAATCTGATTTTTTTTCAAAAAAAATTCCAAAACCCCTCAACTGAAGCCAATTTTCGGTTGTACCATGGCTCAACCTAAGGCAATTTTCGGTTGTACCATGGACCAACCGAAAATTGGCTTCGGTTGAGCCATGGTGCAACCGAAGGTGATTTTCGGTTGAGCCATGGAGCAACTGAAGGTGATTTTCGGTTGGTCCATGGTACAACCGAAAATTGCCTTAGGTTGAGCCATGGTACAACCGAAAATTGGCTTCGGTTGAGGGATTTTGGGTTTTTTTGGATTTGTTTGGTTTATATCAATAATTTTCTATTCTTTTACTACGATTTATGATTCGATCCATAAGATAATTTGTTGAATTTTGGTTTATATATTTTTTTAGATTTATGGAAGGGGAGGAGTTGTTTGTTTTGTGTGTGATTTTGAAATTCAAAATGGGCAATTTAGTAAATTACATATTAAGTTAGGACGATAGTTAGTAATTTTTAGGACGACCTTTAACCATTCAGTAAAATTAATATACATAAGACCCAACTTAAATAACCTTAATTGTTATAATTGATGTGACTTTATAAATTCATTATAATTGTGTAAGGGTGAAGCCGAAGGTCTTGAGCATCTGTTCACTGTTCCTACTCTTCCCAACTGATTTGTCTTATTATATTCTCTAACAAGCTATACAAATGTATCAAACCATGCATATATATAATTTGCTTGGCGGCTGAAGTACAGAACTTGCAATTGTAAGCAGATTAAGAAATATTTTTTTGAGTGGAGTTGATTGGGGCCTCCTGAGCAGCTTCTACGCTAACTCCTAAAATATTATCAGCACTTCACTGCTCTATTCGAAGGATCTTACTTTGTGGGTATTATTATATGCTCCCAAATCCAACCAGTTCCATTCCTTTTTACTTGTTCCCAAAGATGCCTTGTCTCTTTATTTCACTTCAACAGTCCACCCAAATTACAAACCGTTCATTGTCATCTTTTTCCCGGCCCACCTCGGATGCAGCAGTCACTAATTAGCCAATGATTCGGTGTGTACTTACTTAGCAAAGATGTTTTGTAAAAAGGATTTCAGCTTTACTTTCCCAACGGTTCATAACCCAACTTCCATTTTCGTTTGTGAGATCTGCTTTCACTGTAATGTTACTTCATTTTTTGGATCCGGAACCATTGGCCTGATTCATTATTATGAGTGAAAAATAAATTAATTTTTCAACAAGAGTTCAGTCAAGTGGTGTGCACATTTGGTCAAGTGGTTATTGTTCCAAACTTTGAATTTTTATTTTTATTTTTATTTTCACATAGGTAATGTGCATCATCCTCTTCTCCTTTACCCCCTATAGGGGCCTCTATAAAAATAATAAATTGAAACAGAACCCTTCTTTTTTCCTTGTGATATTGTAATTCATATTTTATATTCGTTTTGGAAAAATACGTCTTCATATTATTAATTTATAAATGCTTTAACTACGCAGTTTCTTCAATTTCGGTAGTTCTATTAAAAAATTTCTCTATATATGTTTATAGTGGGCCTGACTTATGCTTAGAAGGTATGTCCTTAATTTAAAGGTAATGTCTATTTTTTATCCAAAACTTTTTCAAAATTTTTAATATCATTCAAACCTATTAAAATGTTATTAATAAGCCAAATCTTTCGTAATGCACAAAATAGTAGTCACTTTTACGTTCTCGTTAATAATTTTTAACTCTTTTTTTAGTTAAAATATTAAAATTTTGGAAGGTTGACCTTCATATGTCTCTTCCAAGTCAGTATCATGTTGCCAAGTCAATATTACTAACAAAATTGCTAACCGAAAATTAACATTTAGCTAATTCTTATTATTTCGATAGATTTGACTAATAAAATATAATCCGAAAAAAGTTTGGGTAATAAATAATGATAACCCTTGATTTAATGATGCATAAACGTGCCACTACACTCACAAGCTTAACCCTTCAAGTTCATCAGGGTCAATGATGAAGATCTAAACAAGGTGAATGATTGCTTCCCCTGACTTCATGTATTTGATAGGTTTTGGAGGAATTAAAGAAAAGGCAATATGTTTTTCCTTACCCGAAGACTTGGAAATGGTTAACAATATACGTGGGTGTTTTTAACCTAGTTAAGTAGTACATATAAGTAACATAGTCAGAGAACAGAACAAAATAACCTGCGATGCGAACTCCGATGAGAGAGCTTGCTTAGCCACAAAATGGATAGCTCTATTTAACTTCCGAGGATTAAAGGCACAGGAAAAAAAAAAGATGAAGGTCAATACTACCGGCGAACATCCTCAAGAATAGCTCCACCCAAAGCATGCTTGGTCTCGCCCGCCAAGACTCGCTCCAATCACCAATTGTGAGTACGATAACTCGATATTTGCACATGTTTTTCCCACCATTATTACACTGTTTAAGGATCGATTCTCGCATTTTAAGCTGATTTCACGCTAGGTTGTGCTTTTATGTCACATTTCAAGACCTGGATCGGAAATGAAGGTTTGGGAGCAAGTTTCGAGTAAAAAACGGAGAGCGACCGAGAAGAGGAGTTGAAGGATCAAATTCCCCGGACAGGCCATCTAATCCCTGACCGGGGATATTCATCGGAGGTCGGGGATCGCGTCCATGGACCCCCTGATCAGAGAGCCTAAATTCCGTGATCGGGGATCAGGAGCAGCGGCCTAGGAATCTCCTCTACGCCGGGTTTTGGTGATCCTTAGTCGTGCATCCAATTCCCCGATTGGCCGAATGCGACCAGGGATGACAAACTCGGATTGATACAAGTGAAACATGGGTTTTGAATGAGGTATTCGATTCTAGAGCTGAAAGCAGAGTTTTAGAGAGAGAAAGTGACGAAGAGTGATCCTTGAGTGCCCTAGATCAACTTTTCCCACCAGTGTAGCTCAATTCAAGCCTCCAGGAGTGACGATTGGCAACTTGGAGAAAATTTCTTCTTGTCTACACGATGATTTCCATATCTAACTTTGCTTTCCACTCACTCTCTATGGAGTAATCCCCTCTTTCACTTAGGTATATAAGAATCCTAGATTAGTATGTTAGGAAGAGTTGAATTAACCCACTTTCAATGATTGATCATCTTTTATCTAATTGATGAATCGATTAAGAGTGATTGTCTTTACATAGGTTACTAGAGCAACCTGAATTGGAATTGGTGAATTAACTACTTTAGTCTAGAATTCGATTCATTGCTCTGCACTATAGTAGAATCCAGCAGAGGGGGTTTGAATCCTATCGCCTTAGTTAGCTTATACTAGTGGAGGTTAGTCACCCACCTGGTATTCTGACTGAGATGTCTGGAGCACTTTAGTCGAGACTTCAAACTACTTAGAGAACTTTCTAAAGTATAAGTATCAATCGAATTGACTTAGGTGAATTTCAACTTGGCCTAGATACAATATCGGGGGACTCATACCTGAGTGAGCCTTCTTAATTTGAGAATAACCATTTACTTTCGTTTGCAATCAACTTCACTTCATTTCAACTACTAGATGATAGGATTGCACGGAGTAACCAGTATGCCTAGGACCCGTGACTCGTTCCTAACTACACAATTAAATCCCATCAAAAGCCCAAGTACAAACTCTAGAAGGGTGTAGTATAGGGCAAGCGTTTTAATTGTCAACCCAAGGCAGTCCATGTACTCATACTTCAATCGCTTAAATTTTTATTTAGCAAACGGTTTGGAGTTAAAAGCTAAAGAACTACAGTTGTAAATAAGCAAAGAAAGTAAATTGAGGTGGTTTCAATATGAGAAGGCTTTACCTGGGTATTCCTTAATTAATCATCAAGATTGACCGAAAGGAATGTTATTGTGGAAATGTGTGCTCATACACCTTTAGGAGGTTGCAACTAGTGGATAAACCCTGCTCTCTTAGATGATTAATTAAGGAATATCAAATTAAGCTAGGAAACTAACTCTCTTGACTAATCAACTAAGAGTTGCTAAGATCACACCCTCGAAAACTAACATGGACGACGAAATAATGACAAATCATGGTAGGTTCATGGCACTAAATCGATGTTTGAGGCTTGCCCTCAATTGCTAATAGCAGAAGTTGGTTAGCTCGAGATTGTTAGGTGCAAACTGAGCATGTCTATTGACAGGCGAATGTTGTCATTGATTACCTTGCCACCTTATGTCATTCTCTTTCTATAGGGATTCACATTTTTTAAACATTTGACAGTGTGCTTGCGTATTGGTTGTATCAAGACCGTCTTAGGGTTCAGACGGCCCGTTTAGAATTTGTATAGTGGGGAACTAGCTCAAATATTAGTGATAATCTAAACTATTAATGTCATTGATTTTGGGCGAGTTTCATGTATACATAAATATAATATGAGCTCTTTATATTCCATAAAAAAATGAGCCCTTTATATGAGGCGGGTGCAAACCATAGCAGGAAACAGAAAAATACAGCTAGAAACAGAAACAGAGGACATGGAAATAGAGCCTGTAACCTTGGTTTTTCATGAGCTCGACGACGATGGTTAGATAATGAAATACTATACTGTCAATTTTGTAGCTCGCATTTAACAACCTCCTCATAACAGCTTTTACTATACACATTTTCTATCACATCTCCACAACACAAAAGAAAACGAAAGAAGGCAGGGGAGGAAAAAGAAAGAACAGAACAACACAGGCCAAAAAAGGAAGAACAAAGAAAACCCATTAAACCCATCAACCTTGTAAATTCGAATTTGGAAGCTTTCCCTCTTTAGGATTTCTCCTTCACTGCCTATTTTACATCTTCCAGCCATGGTTCTACCTAGAGAAAAAAACAAAAGAACAAAGAAGAAGCTATTCCTTTCTTCAATCACTGAACTTACTTTCCTTCCCCCCTTTCCCTCAGTTGAAGGGTTTGCAGATCTCATGTCTTGTTATGTATAGGATCAGACCCTCTTCGAACCCTCCGTTTGCTCGATCGATTCGCGTCGTAACCCTTCTCGAACCCTTCCGATCCCTTCTTCTTGGTATTCATCCCTTGGTGTGTAACAACAACATCTCCAAGAACACGGGCATGGTACTGTTGGAGTTGTACTTGTTCCCCACTTCCCTTGAAGATGATTTCTCTGCCATGAGCTACATGGCGAGCCTGAATTGTGAATAGCCATATACATATGATGAAAGCTAGCAACCTTTGAGCAGCTACAACCATCATCAGTCTGAAAAATTCAAAGCTTCGAGCCAACAAGAAGGAAGGGACAGGAAGAAAAGGAGGCGTGGTGGTGTTTTTTTTTTGTCACGTTTCAGGGTTTTGAGGAGGGAGGGAATAAACAGGGGATTTTAGGCTTGGAATGGGTGGAGGAAGCTATTCTTGTGTGTTCTTTTGTGATACATTTCCTGTAGATATAACATCTAAGCATATTAGTACAGTGTTTGTGCGCCATTCTTTTCTTTTCTGTGGATTTGGGAAGAGAGCAGAGAGGGTTTAAAGCAGGAAAAAGGGGAAAGCAAGGGGACCCCAATGGGAATTTTAAGATTCACCCCAAATCATGAGAGAGCCTGGCTTTTTTTTTTTTCCTTGGAGGGAGAATACCCACATTTTTAAGGCTGGGCATTTGGAAGGGAGAATCTGACATTTGATGTACCAAAAAAGGGAGGGTTTGGAACAATACCCTCGAGAAGCCAAGTATACAATACGCTTTTCCTTTTGTTAATTCCCTCCCTTTTTCTTCCAAAATCATAATACGCTTTGTTTTCTAGTATTGTCGATTGAAAAAGACGGACTAGCTGGCTTGTCTACTCTTGTAATATTCTGCCATGTGGATTCGACCATGCCTATGTGGATGTGTGTTAATATGACACATACCAACAACCGGGCTCATTTCGACATTTCGAATTGTTGAAACGGGGCATTACTCTACTTCACTAGGCTTACTTACGCTTTTCTTTCATGATCATTTAATTTGCTCTTTGCAAATATGTTTATCTAATCAATCGGCTTCCTTCTTCTCTTTGTGGTAAGCCTCACATCAAGTATTATTGCGAGAGTCACCAAATTTTCAGAAACTTAAATTTTTTGGTGGTTTATGCTACCATTGTCCTCATCCCTCAAGCTCGAGTCTTAGTCTTGTCCATGTCTCTTTCTTGGCTACTCCCGTCAACAAAGTGTCTTTGTTTTGACTCAAATACTGGTGATCTTTTCTATTCCGACATGTGTTTTTTGTTGAGACTTAGTTTCTTAGTTATCATCTGACGTGCCCGATCGATCACAAGTTTCATCTCCCACCATGTTGCTTGCAGTGAAAAATCCTACAGTGCAAATGTTATTGTCTACTAATATCCCTCCAACTCATACTGGCCTCCTCCCTCCAGCTCAACTCTCATATACAGATGGCCTCCAACTCTTCCCCCCTATGGTGATCTCTCTAAGACTGATCCCACATCAATGTGTTAGGCTTGAATAATCAATTTTGTTCCATACAAACCAATTAGTAAGTAGGTGACATGAAGGAACTTATTTACCCTCGTTTTCTCTCATGACTAGTGATTTTATCAATTTGATGTCAATGATGCCTTTCTTGAATGGATACTATAAGAGGAGGTATGCATGTCACGGCCTCTAATTTTTTGGGATTCAACTGCTCTGTATCAGGTATGTCTTCTTCATGAGGCCATTTGTGGCCTTTCTTAGACTTCACTAGCATGGAATCTTACTCATAGTACCTTTAGTATTGACCATTGACGACTGTAGTGGCAAATAGTAATGATCTAAACTAATGTCTAGGGTTGTATTCTACAGGGCCTCTGTGTCTAAACTTTAGAGTGACTACTACTATTTTGTGAAACCAAGTGGGGTTAAGGTGTCTGTAGTGTTGTTCCTTCTAAAGTAACAAGAGATCATACGGTCTTAGATGTACAACCAATAAAATACAATCCATAAAAGTAAAGAGCAGCAAGGAAAGGGTGAGTGTATGAAAGCAAGTAGTAAAGGCGTTGTCTATGTTAGTTTAACCTTGAGTGATTGACGAAGTACCACATCAGTAATACAAAAGAAGAGCCATTGTATATTAGTGTCTACCTAACCCAATTAGTACGAGGCCTTTTGGGGAAGGGTGCCCAAGAGAAACTGTGCGGGCTTGGCTCAAAGCGGACAATATCGTACTAATTGACAGCCCGATTTTGACAAGTGGTATCAGAGCCTAGTTCGGTTCGGGGTGGTGGACGTAAGTTTGGTGGACCCTCATTCGGTGACCTCGGGAGATCAAAGAGAGTTCCGCGTTTGGGCTACATCTGGTTTGGTGGATCAAGAGAGATCAGCGTTTGATTTGGTAGATCAAAGACAGTTCTGCGTCTAGGAAAATTCTTGTCCATCGATACAAGGTGTCTGGCTGACCAAGATAATCGTTGAGGTGAGGACACGAAGTTCGTGGCCCTTGGCTTGAGGGAAGGATTGTTATGGGACAATCCAAGTACCACATTGGAAATACAAGGGAAGGAACCCTTGTATATTAGTGTCCACCAAGCTCATTAGTACGAGGCCTTTTAGGGAGGATACCCAAGAGTAAAACCGTGCGAGCTTGGCCCAAAGTGGACAATATCATACTAATTGAGCAGTCCGATTTCGACAATTATTACTAATGATAGACCTAGTTATGGTGGATTGGCTTGAATTTGTCCTACTTCAATCTCCTAGGGGCATACACCCATCCCCTATGCAATAGGGGTAATTGAACTGAATCGTGCGAGTGGTCTCGCGTCATACACAAGAAAAATATGAAGCAAAAATATCAAAAGTAGTTTCAACATCGATGAACTCAAGAATTCTCTTGATTTGGTGATATAGTGATTGTCTTAGGCACATTGTCTTGTCAAACCTAGGGAAAATATCAATTATCCTTAAACATACATGCACTTTGGCTCATAAAACATGCATGAGCAATGATACCAATCACATATATAAGTGTGATCTCTGAAACATATATGCAATTGGCATAAATAAGCAAGGATGAAAAATCACAAGCATCACCTTCAAAAAAGATATATACTGAATAAATCATAGTATAAACACAACTAGGATCCACCACCTAAACATCAGGGGGGTGTTTAGCTCGATATCGGAAAGGAATACATCACAGTGATTGGCAACATGCTAACAACCTCTTACCTACAACGAAACCAATTGATAAAGCTTAGACTATGACTTGAATATGATTGCGACTATCCCAAATATGGAGTTAATCTGATCTATTCAAGCCAAGATGCCTTTAAAACATAACTCATATCCACTTATTTATGCTAAATCTCCATACTCGAATCATTAGGTGTTGTCGATTTGTTACAATGAAATATTACTCTTCCGACTCTAACTAAAACACTTTACTTTACATGCAAGGAAAGAGGTGGTTCCAGAAATGCGATGGGGTCAGCAGCGGGCTGGACCATCCTATCTGGTTTTGCTTCATTTGGGATGAAACTTGGTCCACACACTCAACTTAGTCTTCGAGGCTTTCTTTACAAATTTGGGTTTGAATGGCCAATGATGGCCTGTACGATTCCTAGGGCACTGATCCTATCGTAGTGATTGACCCAAATTTACATGGCCTGAAGGAAATGAAGGAAAACAGTGACTAATTTGCCAATTCTTCCCCTCCTGTAACTGACTCTAGACGCTGACTCTTATTCACAGACTCGACATGAAACATAAACCGAACACAAACAGAATTAAAATACAAACTACCTTGTTCCCTTTCCGATGGTTGCAATTTATGCCAACATTTGATCTCGTCATAGTGAGTGGCCCAAATTTACCTGGCCCTAAGTTAGGATAGTATTCCCTAGGATCTCTCACAATTGTTTACTCCGGTGGTGAGGAACGAGTTCTATGATAGTTTTAAAACGATGTGGAGGTTGAGGTTCCTCCGGGGTTGAAGTTCCCCTTGGTTTTAGAGAAAACTAAAAGATAAGCAAACCATAAAAGAAATCTATAGCTAAGGCAAGTGGAGTGGGAGGAAGCAGGAGGAAGAGGCGTTGCACAGACAAGCTCCTCCTAGAATTCTTGGCTCATATCTCGATCCTAACAACATATGAGTTGTTTGATCTTTATGTAATTTTGTTCTACCTTGTGCACAGGCTTCTTGCATTGATCTGATAGCCAACCATGACCCTACGAATGTCTCTTTTGAGACACCATGCTAATTGATTGAAAGATGATCGATGGTACCAAAACCATTGGTTTTAGTTATCATCCACATCGTAGCTGCTTTTGGGTGTTGAGCTGGTGGCCAGAAACTGGATCTGTTGGTTGCCGCAAACAAAGAATATTGATGATGGTGCAATTAGGGATGTCGAGTGGGAGCAGTGATTGAAGGCAAATCAGTACTGATTACTTTTTTATTAAGAAATGGAAAGCTTTATTTTGTTTCCTAGTTTAGGAGTGGTGTCGGGCGCAGACAAGAGCCAAGAACGCAAGGAAATTAAATGTTGATTTAAAATGGAATTGGAGCCAATACAAAAAGAAACAAGCCCTTGCTTTTTGCCATTTCCTACTCGATCTCATTGCCACTTTAGTATTCCAAACAAGATTAAAGGTAAGATAGCCTAACGGTTCAAATTTAAGCGAGGCCCGTTGGTGTTCCCGGAGGTACAAGGCTGCTCGAAGCGAGGTGCCGTTGGCGTTGAATTTGATTGTAGGTGACCCCCAAATGTAGTAATTGACAATTCGATCAAGAAAATATCATATTGGAATTTAAACAATTAATTTCTCATGTATCTTCTTCCTACTTTATCTGATAATTTCTCCAGTACTTTTCTTTACTGTTTTTATCGTTTTATATAACAATAAGGCACATTTCTCAATCACATGCAACTTGAGAGAACATTCTATTCTAAAGGGACCACGTAGTATTCTTAAACACACTACATGCACCTTTTCTTTTCAATATAGGCTGAGGGAGAGATAGAGTACTCATTTTTCATTCAATGGTCCAAATCCCGATTCCCCAACAATTACACAATTATAATTCCAACTTGATTTTGCTGATACTTTTTGATGCCCCTCTCTCTCCTCCCTACTTTTCCTCGAATTCATTTAAAAAATTCTCTCGACTTGGTGATCTGTACAATAAGTTGGACTTGCTCTTTTTTGGAGACCGTATTTAGGAGCTCAATAACAAGCTTAATTAGATGGCAATGAATTCGAAGGAGCAGATTACAGCAATTTTTGGATTTTCTCCCAACATATTTTTTTTTTCATTTTAATGTTATTATCTAACTTTAAAATTTTCAAGTTTGTCATAATTTAAATGTCTATTGTGACAAACATCGATTTTGACATAACAAACATTTGTCACATTACGTATATATTATGACAATTATTTTGTCACTGTCATTTGTCAAAATCTCGTAGGATGAAAGGAAGATGGCAAGTATAAAATGCAACATATTAATCACAATAATATTTGTCACATTATGTACCATATCATATTTATAATGATAAACATCTTTGTCATAAATCATAATATTTGGAATCAGTGGAGTGAAAGACGAAATGCGTTTGATTATGGATTGACGGAAACTTGTGGAGCGAAAGACGACATGTTTGATTTGACAAGCAGTGGAATCGTCATAATATTTAAGTTCTCTATTTCTATCATGACGAACAAAATTTGGTCATATGAACTTGTAAATATACATGTAATATGTATGGATTGGAGGGAACTTGTGACCGAAAAATGAAATCGTTGATTTTACAAATTCTGGGTTTGTGATAATATTTTAATTTGTACATCTATTATGACAAAAGAATTTGATCATATAAAATCATGTATTATGATTGTATTTTTTTGTTATGGAGTTTTGTGCTAATTTTGACTGACACATACTAGTGGTGGGAAGCATAAAATGTACCCTGTGACAAAATAATAAGTTTGTTACAATGTATGCTATTTGATCTTGAGGCCGACAAATGAGTTTGTTTTAATACTTGATAATTTCATATTTACTAGCCATATAGCCCGCGCTACGCGGCGGGATTTTTTATATTGGTGATTTTGATGATTTACAAATCGTTATCCCTAGTGCAATTGAATTAGTACGATAGTGTAGTCTTGTGTTCATACAAAATTTTAAAGTAATTAAAGGTTTTGAATGAAATAATTATCATATTGTCATGTCAATGGTTTGAATTGGAAGCTAACAGAGATTCGTACGAAGCATATATATATATATATATATATATAAGCCTATTACAATAAAATATAAGTAAAATAGTTATTGGTATGTTAGTTGCTTGTTGTTCTTGTCTTCCAGACCAATGACTTTCCTTTTGGTGGTAGCATGTAGATTGTTGAGCTTGGACGCTGATCTGAAAATCCAATAGGAAGAGAAACATAATTAAAACCCATAATGGAATTTTATTTACGTCAAAGTAAAGTGATTTTGTATCATTGAGAATGTAAAAGAGTTAAAGGAAGGAGGTCTTATTTAAAATTCTTCATGATCTTAAGATTCTGTAACACTTAATTAGTATATAGTTAATCCACTTTCCATTCTATCTGATGTGGTTTTTTCATTTTCAATAGATAATTGTTTTACCTTTGAAAGATAGATAAGATGGCATCTGATATAAGTCATTCTCTGCTCTCCTCTTGGTCGATGTCCGTCTGATCTGCAATAGAATTTGGTATGTTTGTTGGTTAATGTATGTAAGCTGGAAATCTATCTTTCTAGTGTGCGTATTGTGTCAATATAGATTAATAAATGATTTACCTGTGACCGATGTTGCCGTGCTGTTCAAATGAACGAACGTTTCGTTATATACTATATTTCTTGTGTATGACTGTGGAACTTCTCCGTCGTTGTCAACCAGTATATGAAGTCCGTCAGCCGATCGAACTCGTGAAACTGCTACGTATAATTGCCCATGACTGAACACCGGCTTAGGCAAGTAAACTCCGACTATGTCGAGGCTTTGGCCTTGACTCTTGTTTATTGTCATTGCATAGCACAATCTTACCGGGAACTGTCTCCTCTTCAAGATGAATGGTCACCTGTGTTCGGTGATATTGAGCACAATTCTAGGAATAGCAACCAGCGTCTTGTCATACGACCCTCCAATGATATCCCCTCCGATGACATGTTCTCCCAACTGTGTAATCATGATCCTTGTTCCATTACACAGGCCAATGGACGGATTCAGATTTCGAAGAAGGATGACTGGAGTAGAGATTTTCAACTGCAGTTCATGTTCTGGTACACCATTGAACGATAAGCTATTAAGGAACTCAGTTGGGTACTCCTCTTCCCACCTGCTGCTGTTTATTGTATCATCCTCTATTGAATCTGAGCTGTAGTATGTTTTGGCATCTCCCTTGACTTTGGCCAACATGTAGTCGTTGATTTCCGAAACTACTCGATTTGTTGGCGTGACTATGGCTCGATTCTTGATGTAGTTGATATCATGGTAGTTAGTATGGAAATTCTCATATACCACATCAGTAATTGCCTTAATTCTATTCCCTGTATGAGTAATGAGGAACTTATCTGGTAAATGTATCCAGTCTGTTGCCGCCGATGTGCTGAATGTTGTGGACTTAATTGCTCCATCACCAATAGCCAGAACCCAATCTTCAAAAATCTTCCCATCATACACTTGCAGTAGGTTGTTTGGGTTTGAATTGATTCGCATGTTAACTGTCAAAGGCAGGATCTTGAAGTGCTGCCAAAGGTGAGATCTCGTTAGAGAAGAATCAATACTTTCCTCTCGTCCTCCGTCGACCACCACAGGCAATGTTTGTCTAAAATCACCACCCAGAAGCATGCACTTTCCTCCGAAAGGCTTATATCCCTCGCCACTTATCGGAATGTTCATGATGTCGCAGAATGTTCGATCGAGAGCCTCAAAAGCGAATCGATGTGTCATCGGAGCTTCATCCCAAACAATTAGGGTGGCTTCTTGGATGAGCTGGGCTAGATGAGATCCCTTCTTGATGGTGCAGGTAGAAGTGTGATCTATCTCAAGGGGGATTTTGAACCTCGAATGTGCCGTTACTGCATTTGGCAATAATGTAGCTGCTATACCCGATGAAGCAACTACCAAAACAATCTTTCTCATACTCCTTAACTTGGCAATTATTGTATCATATAAGAAAGTCTTGCCTGTCCCGCCATGTCCATGTAAGAAGAACAACGACCCTTGTTCAGAGCTCACTGAATCGAAAACGGCATTATAAGCGTTCCTTTGATTTTGATTGAGTGATTCTAAGTTTCTTGATGCACGCGTACTCTGTTCTCTGATATCGTAATCGAGCTGTTCGGTTATGAGACTGTTGAGAGACGTGTCGCAGGCATTCAAATCTGGAGAAGGTAGGCCGAAGTGTTGTAATGTGGTGGAGTAATAACTCAGCAGTCGTTGTAGCTCTAGCAAAACTGAGTTTCTCAAAGAGCTCGATGGGGGCTCGAAGTATCTGGAAGAGCTTTCTCGCCTTGCTTGATATGCTATGTCATCTGCCATTTGTTCCCAGAATTTTTCAAACAAAGTTAAAGGCTCTGTGATTTCACAGAACATCAACATTGAAATAAAAGTAGTCCTGATTAGAGAGGGATGACCCCATTTGCAGATTTCTTCTAGGACCAATGCCCACTCTTCATCCGATGAAAGCAAGCCTAGTTTTTGGCATGCTATTTTGTATGTGCGACAGCGGACGCCGTTGACAGTTCGAAGATCGTCGAAGCTCAAAGCACCTCGAACTTTTGTTAGCAGCATTCTCAAGTAGACAACATCCCCGGAACCTGGCGGTACATACACGATTCTGCCAATCTGAAATCCTCGTTTCCTAGCAAACCAATCCCGCTTTCTCCAGTCCCATATGTATTTGTTCGGTATCTCGGCGTAGGTAAGTGTTCTAGCCGCTGGATTGGTTGCGTTTAGGATGAACCACTTGGTCAACATGGTGTTCTCCGCACCACTATTTTCCACTATCTCTTCCAAAGTCTGTTGCTCTCTGTAAGGGACCATTTGTTGATCTTTGAGATGCACGCATAGTCTTAGTACTGAGGGGTTTCTTTCATGTATTGGGAACTCATAGATCCTCCACGCTGCCTCATATGATGACAGATAACGACAGTCAAGATACTGCTTAATTTCATCTACTGGATGTTGTACATCTGTTGAACTGCTCGATTGGTTTGTAGCTTCGACAACAGATCTATCCGGTCCTTTCGTGAGGTATTTGAATAGGTATTTGATTAGCCTTCCTTTGTGACAAATCTCGACGTTGATATGTGCTTGCAACCATACCAAGAGTTCTCTGTTGTATGGTACTACGTATTTGTTGTCAAGTTTTGTTCCTCCCTTCTCCACCGTAATTCCGGTGTCCCTCCTTTTGTACACGATGTAACCGAATTGATCATATGTGGTCTCAGATGCAAAAGCTTTTGGAAAATGCTTTGAGCAGCGACCATCTTTCATGCACGGTGATGAATTATTGGATTGCCCACATGGACCATGCATCATAAACCGTGTAACGGCTTCATAACCAACTGGATCTATTGTCGGGTCGGGTATCTCACTGCTGATTATTCTATCTATGTCTGCGATTTCCTTGGGTTTATCTGTCTCTGCTAGCCACAACAGAATGTGCACATGAGGGAGTCCCCGTTTTTGAAATTCCACAGTATGTAAATCTGTTACAAAGACATTAGAATAAGAATTAGTATGTTGTTATTCCTACCAAATATCTGTGTAGGCTGATTTGTATTAAAAGTCCATTTAGCAAAGATATTTACACGCACACTAACTCAGCATAAGAACTAACATGCTGTCAAAAGATAAATAAGCAAAATTAAAATGCATTTGGTTATAAGCTTTGCATTGACATGGTTTTTCGTTTGAATTTTCTTCTTTACTTGAACATATAATAAATGGTGTAGATGCCATTTTGAGATAATGAATATGTAAATTGATTGATAAGCAATAAGTAGCAAATGGATTGCTTTTAAACGTTTAAGCAAGGCAACAGCAAAGGCAACCTTTGACATAGTTGTTGTTCTCTAATCAATATGTTTGAATACGATTATAATGCATAGTCATATAAAAGATCAGATTGATAGAGTTGAAGCAAGATCATTTAATTATGTAATTGTTGTTGTTACCTGCAACAACTTGGCCGAAGAATCTTTCCTTGATGATGCGCTCTCTTAATGCTCGCAATTTCATTTTGAAGACACGTGCCACTATGTGGGTCTTATCTTCGCCTCGCTTGCCGACTGTGTCTTCAAATGCATGTACTATTTCGGGCCACTGAGCATTGCATGTAAATGTAATGAAAAGGTCTGGGTTTCCAAAATATTGACAAAGAGCCATAGCGTCAAGGTATAGCTGTTTCATATATCGTGGGCCACCTGTATATGAAGATGGTATTATAATCCTTCCCAAATTTTTGCCCGTTTCTTCACCTGCATGAAATGCGTCATAGAGTCCTTGGTATATTTCCGAGCGCAATATATCTTGGTTTTTTCTGATGAAGAAAAGTCGGTTTTGTTCAATCGAAGAGAATGCATCTATAATATAATGTTGCAAAACCTTCCCGCCCCTGATTAGTGTAGTCCCTTCATTATCGCGATGTTGCAGACGGAATGAATAGTACTCTCGCTGAGTTATACACTTCCTCTTTGCCAATGGGTTGCTTGCTTCTTCTACATATGTTATTCCTGTATGGTAGCCATCTTCCCCATAAGGAAATAATAGAGGGAAATGTAGTGCGTCGAATTTGGGGTTCAAACTCGATATTCGTTGTAGGCCCTCGCTTCTGTGGTTGACAATAATGTCTCTGTCATGTTTATCTGGGCAAAAATCTCCAGGGATAAGTCCAGCAAGCTCTTGGCCGGTTGGCAATTCATATTGTTCCGCACCCTTTACTCGAGCTCCTACAATCCTCAGACGTAAATTCTCTGTTGTAGGATCTTGTAACTGGGGCCTTAATCTTCTGAAACTTTTTACCAACTCATTTGTCTCGTCGAACATCTCGATCAAGCCTTGTACAATATCTGGAAGCAAAATGTTATCGTTGCTTGAGAAGTTTGCCATTCTGTCTTGAACTTCGGTGGATGGATCGAAAACATACAGTTGTGCAAATTTTGGTCTTTCTCCAATAGGCGGCAACAAAGAGCCAATGCGATGATAGTTCTCACCACATATTACTAATGAAAAAGGACCTCTTGAATTCATTAGTCTTGTATCAATTTGTGCTCCAATTGATGTGAATGAGAATGCTGCATTGTATGGTCTACGATGTTTTGCAAAATGTGTTGCCATTTGATCTCCCTTAACATCCAGAAGCTTATCCAGATACGGCGGTGTTGGCTTAAGAAGAGGCAATCGAATCCTGCCTCGTTGACAGCACAATGTGAAAATCGCTGTGCTGCTTCGCCTATTGTAATTAAGTTGTTCGTGCGGCCAAAATCGTGCACCACAATGTGTGCAAGCCAGAGTTGGTAGTCCCAAATCGAGGATGTTATTATTTAGTGTGGGTGGCAAAGGAGATGAAAGTTCTGGTTCTTCAATTTCGGCTGGCAGTTCTTCGTTTGAGACTGTTTCTGTTGTATGCTGACTTTCAGTGTGTATTTCTCGTGCTGGTATATCTTCTGCATTGTAACTCTCTGTATCCATAAACATAGTGGTTGGTGTATTTTGTATGCTCTGTAAGGGATTCATGGATGCATAAGAAAACATTCTTGATCGCCTGTCGATTCCTGATTTTCTTCGTTTTGGTGGTTCTTGAATTCCATCTGATGCTTGTGGTTTAGTGATGCGGCGTTTCCGGACTGCAGGTGTTACCATGGGAGTGGTAGATGGTGCTTGGCGGTGCTGCTTGTGAGTATTCTGTCTTGATCTGAAAAAGTATGAGCTGCTGAGAAGAGTTAATGGTTGTGCCTTATTTGGGTGCCTGTTGATTTGTTTTATAGAGGAGATCTTTGAGCTAGAAGGTTTTTCTGCCTTTTCAGAAGAGGAGTTGAATGGGATGTCCTTTTCCTTGTTTGTTTTGTTGACGATTTGTGTTTTCCTACAACTTAAAGGAGAAGTTGCTTTTTTATAATTGTTTATTCTGTGAATTTAAATACGATCTTTGCTTGACTGGGGTGGAGCTTTACATTTAATGAAAAGGTTTGTTTGTTATAGGTTTGCAGATATGACGGAAGAGTGGATGAAGTTCTTGTGCAGAAAGTTCGTAACAGAGAAGGAACTAACAGAACTCAGAATTTGTTGTATCGTGATGAAGTTATGCTTTTCTAGGTTTTACTCGTGGGCTTAGAGTGTATGAGACTTGTGAATTCTTTTACATTTGTTATAAATGCACTTTGCTCTTTAGATTACGAAAAAGGGGAGGGGAGTAGGGATTGGAACGCAGCAAGATTGTGGCAGGTGGTATCCAAATAAAAAAGATCTAGTTGTTGTCTTTCATTTTTCTGTCTATGAACGATCAAGTATACAATGCATCTGTTGAATGAATCCTTTGTGATTAAGCTAATAAATATATACCTTTCCCAAACTGACAGAAATTGATAAAATTGTATTTATAAGAGGCCGAATCAAAAGCAGAGTTTCCAAACCATATAACCAAATTGTTCCAGAGGTACTGAAATATGTTTATCAGAAAAAAAACATTAAAATTGCAACACTAAGTAAACTGGTTCGAGTTCTCATTTCTTAAGCCGAAGCATTCCATCCCTAAGCTTGAGCATATTTTTTCACCGACTGACGCTTGCGTTTCGCCTTAACTTCAGTAGAAGTTGGTGGATCTTTAGGAACTGAATCCGTCAAAGCACTGCAACTTTTGGTTTTCTTCACTCCAACTTCGACAACTATGTGCTCTGCATCTGTTTCGACCGAAGCAGCTTTGGCCTTTTTTGTCCCAGTCTTTGTTGTGCATGTACTGCACCGAACAATAACTTGTATTAGAATGATATAATATTGCATCCCTAGACAATACCAAAATGTAATTCATTGATTAGAAAAACTCAGATTTTGTACCTAGTTTTCCTGGTGTTTAGAGTTTCTTTGTTGTCTTTGTCATCTGCAGATTGGTTACTTTTGCTTCTTTTGGTGTTTTGCAGCAGCTTAGACAAACATTGTTCATCGTCAGAGGATGCTGAGTCAACATTGTTGACTCCATTTACCTTCCTCGCAGGTGTTTGGGTTGTCCTAATTAATTTTACAATATGTACACCATATATGACATTATTAGAATTCAATGATAAGAACCATCTCGGTGCAATTTGCTTTAAGTTTTGAGAATGATTGTACAGATGATTACCTTTTCCCACTTCTTTTGGATGCATTAACTCTTGGGGCTGCTTTCCTTTCCTTGTTGGCACTTGAAGTAACTGCATTGTTCCTGTCGTTGTAATTTATAGGCTTTTATTATGAATAATTTAATAATATGCACGGCCGAAGGAATGAAGTTGCTTGAATGAATCTACATACTTTTACGTAAATAAGGCAAAGATGATAAGACTGTACCCTTTATCGTCTTCTTTTTTAATTTCACTTGCTTCAAGTAATGGGAAGCCAGCATTTGATATTGGCTTTGCATGTGATTCAATTTGCAATGGCCTAAAATGCATTTGGAGTTATAAGATATTATTTAGACAAAATTATAGGAATAGTGTAACAACTCTAATAATAATAATATATCCTAGTGTAACGCACCTGTTTGAGAATTCTGATTTCAGTAGGCTTTGTTTTCCCATTTTTCCAGTTTGATGGGGAAGTCCCTTGATGCTAGTGACTATGAAGTCGCCTACAACACCATTGTTGTTTTCTTTGGGAAGTTGGATCTCAAATTCCAAGTTATGACCAGCTAGAGCTTCAATATCAGGTGGTAATATTCCAGTTCCATCCGGGTAGATTTCATTAACTTCTGAAGCTGTGCGTGGTAGGAATTTGTCTGCAGATGCTCCTATGAGAAGGAACGTTGCTTGATCATTACCATCATGCACAATTAGCCTGATTCGATACCTATAAATCAATAATGGTATAAGTATCAGTGGTCAATGGTCAATTGCTAATTGCAATTAAAAGTCATTATAATGAATAACAATGAGAAATATCATGCAATCTTGGTAAGATTATACAACATTTGCAAGTTGTAAGTTTCATACCAATATTTGATTTCAGAAGCGGGTATCTGGTAATGCTTCTTACACCAATAATCTGATCCACAATTAGTAACTGATTGATAGCATGATTTGCAGCCTCGATATCCCCATTTTCTCTGAGATTTTATAGCAGTCACTGTTGCTTGGCAAATATAATTGGTATTCTATAGCACAGAGTGAGAATTTATGTTATTATAGAGTATAGATAATAAGTCTGGGAAGCATTTGAATTAAAGTATATGACAGATTAGAAAGCTAACAATAATAATAATAATAATCAAATACCAATGAATCCTTCTCTGCGCATAGATTTATGAGTTCGCTCAAGTTTCTCTTTGATTCCTCCAGATGTTTTGCTGCTTTCTCGGCGGTGTCATGAGTGACAGCTATGGAAGATACTATTCCGGAAGCATTCTTAGCACTGGTCATGGCAAAGTGTAAGTATAAGTAAATTAAAATATAAAATTATAGTGGGATGTGAACAGAAATATACGCTTTAATCAGGCCGCCGAAATCATCACTGGAATAAGGGTGGAAGCTGCCGCCATCTATTGTTTGGGGGTTCAAGATTATGCGGGTAGCAGAACAACTTGATGCTCCAACTTGATCTTCAAATTTAATTATCAAAATGTTAACATATATGAAATTGCATGACAATGATTCCATCACAACGACATTTCAGACCAAAAGAAGTTTCTCTAGTAATAGGAATGCGTACCTCGAAAAGATGATATAGTAAGTCCACCAATAGCAATTATTACAGGTGCCGTTAGAGCATCCTGAATCAGTTGAGTAGCACTAAGCTTATATGCTAATTCCCCCCACAAAGCAATTGACAATTCGGCTCCCCTTTATTATACAAAGATGGGTTAGATCTAAGATATATTGATTCACAAAAACAAAACTGACAAAATACCTTTCATTTTTCAGAACTAATTTTTGGTGAGGTGCGGTCCCATGTTGAGTAATTTTGTGGTCAATCTCACTGATTGAACTCAGCCAGCCAACAACATCTGTTTATTAGGAAAGGCAAGTGCATTATCACACATAGTTTATTAGGAAAGGCAAGTATCAATATCACACATAGTTTAAGAGAGCATAAGCACAGTACATCCTACCTGTCAATATTGTATTTATTCCTGCACGATTTCGCAAAGACTCGAATTGGCAGAAGTCGAAGCTGTCTGAGACAAAATCTGTAGCAAAGGCAGTAACATCTTCAAAGTCTGTTGCTGGGACAATGGAGATACATATGTTGTTCATGCATGGTCTGTAGAGTTCTTTGGCTGGCCTTGTTATAAATTCCTTTATACAATATACAGAACCAGTACTGAGTTTGGACTCCAGGTGGCCAGCAAAATTCCGATCACTAAGACCATGGATGAGCATCCCCTAAGAATAGAGAAAGTCATCAATGTAATGAATCTTCCAACATATGATTAGCCAGGAGACGGAGAAGAAAAGTAAAAATTATTAGATAATAATATTACCGTTTCATCAACCCATAGGGTACTGTAATCGTACACATATCCAGGATTTGCTGGATTAGTAGACTTCCATGAGTGGATGAGGCGGAGCTTGAGGACTCCCGTGTTGTCGCCAACAGTGAGTTCGTGTAGGAACTTGGTTTTAGTTTCAGAGAACATATTGCAAAGGAAGAAGTAATCGCAATGAAAGGGTAAATTTGTGAGTGCTTGGTGTTTATCTACGAAGGTCAATTTAAAGGGATTTATATTGCTGCGTTGTCCTTTTCCTTGACAACTTCGTCTTGCACAAATTATACAGAAGTAGAACTAAAAAGTTATATATGAAAGTATAATCGGAGAGAAATTGTACTTTTCCTTAATTGCTTCCTTGTCCTTTTCCTTCTCCTTAACGACTTTGTTTTGGACAAATGCATAACTGAATAGTTTTTCTTTTATTCCCCAATTAGAATTATTAAACTATTCCTTATTAGCTTCGTCGGTATACGTTTGGCTTCAATGTAAAGTGTTTTTCTACTATTTAGTTTCATAGCAGTAGACATTCTCCTAATCAGTCACGTTTACACATATATATATTAGTTAGAATTATGAGGCTTGGGGAAATCACCTAACGCACACATCGATATATCTCATTTTGCAGTCCCTAGTGGATGAAAACATCTACTTAATTGATTCTTAATGTAGTATCAATAAAACTGCACTACAATGATTCTAGCAAAAGTATTCAAATATCAGTTTTCTTACCTTTCCAAGTGAAAGAGAAATGCCACTGGTAAGAAGTTAAGTCCTGAACTCTTATCTCCCGACGATTTATGTCCATAATAATATCCCCTTAATGATGTTAGCCTTTGCATAGTGGAAGAAAGCATATTCAGCCACCCTCAAACTGGCCTGGCGAGCAATGATCTTGAGGCTTTCAAATACACATCTTACCACCTACCTCCCAAAATCATCATTATGTCAAAGTTCATTAAGACATATAATTGGCTAGCTGCAAGTTAACCAAAGCCAGATAGAAAACTCACTTGGTGCTCAAGTCCACTGTATTCTCCTTCAGTGCTCTCACGGATGGTGATGAGATTCACATCATTTTATCGGGCTTTGTAACCCGGAAGGCTGTAGCAAGGCCTGACATTGGCATACAGGTTAAGTTCTTCCCTGAGAGTGAGATTCAAGAATGATGGCCCTTTCCAATTGCTGTAGCCACTGGCCCTTTCAAATCCACTCGGTTTCTTCTCACAGACTCCAAACTTTACCATGTTAGAAAGGTCTGGGTTTGAGGATCTACCTCAGTCCCGACATAATGTTATTCCCATTCAACTGGTATCTCAGCTTCCCTGAAAATCTGTATATGTAACCACACTCAAATCATATAGATATCCGACAAACAATTAGAATGAGTTTAATCAAATGAAGAACAAACAACTAATTAAACTTCTAATCACCTCCAAAGAATCGGCCATCAAAAGAATCACTGAGAAATGGAGATAACCCCTTTCCCTTTCGCCTGAAATCCAACAGATGCTAAATCAACCCAAATGGAGGGAAGAATCTCCATCTTCAAATCGAGAAGCTTGATTTGGAAGGGGAAACGAAGGAGGTGGGTGGCGTAGGAAGGGAACAACACGAATGAAGAACCTGATTTGGCTAGCCTTCAAGAAATTCGTCCCCTCCTTCTTCCACCGCCGTGTCTTTCGACGCCACCGTCTCCCTCCGCCGTGACATTCAACGGGTTCGGGGAGGTGAGAGAGAGGGGAAATCAAGTGTCGCTTTTCGGCGTCCAAACAGTGGGTTCGGGGATGGAAAATCTGTTGTCGCCACAATCTCCTGCCGGCGTTTGTGAATCGGGGAATGGAAAGAGAAGAGATGGGATAGAAGGGTCTTTGTCTGGTCGGAGGTTAGAGATGACGGGGAATGAGAAGATGGCAGGTTCTGGATCGGATATTGAGATGGGAAGGGATTGGAGAGAAGATGGCAGGTTGAGATGGGAAGGGATTGGTAAAGAGGAGGAAAACAATGGCGTATCTTCCCTCAGCATCGATTCGTCTTCCAGCAGCCATTGAGGGCATTCAGAGATGGAGAACTAATCCTCCCACTAATTAATATTGCCTTTACTTTGTCATGGGAAAATGTGAGCAGAGAAAGGATGGGGAATGAAAAGTTCCACTTGAAAGGGAGAGTTCTACATGAGAGAGGAGAGAGGTGGCAGTGGGTTTTGATTTGACGTAGAAGAATAGAGAGAAGAGGCACGGGGCCCACGATGAGGACTTTTATCAACGGTCATGTTTTGTCTAAATCAACGGCCAGATTTGGCTTACCCAAAGATGAGCTCACGTAGGTACGGCCGCAGTCAATCATCATGTCTCTTCGTGAACAGTGTTACGCGATTTTTTCGTAATGAACAGTAAATCTCGGTTTTTGGTAAGTTTTGTCTGCTTGTGGCTTAATAATTTTAATAATTAAAACCCTAAACCATGACAAAAAGTAAAAAACCCTAAAGTAAGACAAAAAAAGATCTTGTTCTTGTGACTTTAAGCTTGGTTTTCTGTCGTAGAATGGAAATCACAAGGATCTCACCTGGCGCATACACATGATTTTCTATTTTGGGTGTATTGAAGAAGGTTTTATATATGAACACTTCTGCTATGTTTTAAAGCATCGGTGCTTTAAAGTACAACTTTAACTTACGTTGTACCATAACGTTAAAAGTACAAATTGAAGTTGTACCATTTGAGAATTTGTACCTTTATATTATGGTACAACTTCAAATTGTACCATAACATAATTACAATTTTAGTTTGTACCATAAAGAGAATTATACAAAAGAGTATATGTACAACCTTAAGTTGTACAATAACTTTAAATGTACAACTTCAAGTTGTACTATAAAGATAAAAACGAAAGCACCAATGCTTTAAAGTATTGTAAATTCCTCGTTATATATACCTCTCAACCCAAACATAAGCTTTATCCTACTAAACTATAGCAAAGTTGGTCTCTCTTGCTCAGTGACATAGTTAACACACATTGTTAGTCAACTTTGTAAATTAGTGTGTTCTTTACTTTTTTACATTGTCGATTGTTTTATCCAAGTAAACTATAGTGAAGTTGGTATCTCTTTGCTCGGTGGCGTAGTTAACACACAATGCTAGTGAACCATTATGTGTTCTTTACTTTTTTACATTGTCGATTTCTCATTCCATTATAACAACCCTAACCATAAACTTTAAAGGCAAAATACACTTGTATAGCCATAACTTTCACGTTTGTGACAAATATAGTCATAATTATTCGAAAACCAAAAATAGCAAATTCCGTCCATCTCTTTAACGGTGTTACTTAACAATCTGACTGTACTGACGGAATATGCTGAGTTGGCGATTTATGATCCCCACCAAGCCGATGTGGATTAAAAAAAATTAAAATATAAAAAATCATTATTTATCTAATAATTTAGTTTAAAAACAAACAAAAAATTTGCAACCTTATACTCACCGCCCATCTTTCTCCCATTTCCTCCTACTGTACATCTTCCCCAATTCAAACCCAGATCCTCCCCTGTTCTCACCTTCCTCTCTCCCTCTCTCTTCTTTCCTCTTCCGCTACGAACAACGACTCCCCTCTCTTCTCAATTCCAAATCATCGCTTCCCCCCACAAACTCAATCCACCCCGCCGACAGACAAAGAAGGCGGCGGTTGAAACCCAAAATCGACGCCGCCTCCGCGCCCAGACCCAAGTCCGAGTTCCCGGCAACAGATTCATCAAACTCTTCCCTGGGTGTCAGATCTGCAGTGGTGGGGCTTCTTCCTCGTCCAGCTCTGTTTGCCCTCCTCTCGCCTCCCGCTTCATGTTGTGTTCCCCAGCAATTAGAAAAATGGAACCAACCAAAATCCCAAGAACCCCTACCGTCCCTATGTATTCAAAAACACCAACCAACAACTACAACAAGGAGTCGAGAGATTCTCCACCGCCACTCTCCAACACAATATCGAACAAATCCGCCTCGGCCTCGGCCTCTTCGGCCACCGCCACGTCATTATTACCTCCGCCGCCATTATTGCTACACGAATGCCTCTACCCGCTCCTGTCGAGCCACTGCGAATCGATCCTCCCCCGTCACTGGTCGCCGCGACGAGGAGAATTTTAATGCCTGTGAAATATGGTTTGGTGGTTGCTGAAGCAAACGACGGATCTGGGTGACCGGAACCTTTCAATCGACGACGTGGTGAGGAACGCCACCAGCGAGAAAATTTCAATCGGCGAAGGAACGCCTTCAATCGGCGACCGGGCACTTCCAAACGACGACAAGAAGCTTCCAATCGGCGGCGGGCAGCACTTCGATATCCAGCACCGCGTTCCTTTGAAGTCTCTCGGAACCCTAAAATAATTTTTGGAATTGGAATTGGAGGTGGAGCAAAAGGATTGAAGCAGGCCTCCTCAAAAGGATTTGGGTTTGGAGCAGCTCAACTACTTGATTTTTGTTAGCAGTAGGGCAAGGAAAGGAAGGATAAATGTAAAAACAATGGAGCATAGGGATTTGGGTTTCTAAAAAAAAAGGATTTGGGGTTTGGTTTGGGGAGCAGATTGTCTCCTCTAATTGATGACAGCGACGACGAGTGGTGGGAGGGGAGAGAATGAAAAAATAACATATGATTTTATTTATTTTTAAATTAAAATATGACGTGGCACTTACATGGAAAATGTGGCTGATGTGTCGCTGACGTGTGCGATGAGTTGGCATCCTAATCAGTCTAACGTTAACTTAACTGACGGAGTTTCTAACACCGTTAAAGTTTCTAACGGAAATGGCTAGATTTGTCACACTACCATCCAATTTTTGGCTATTTCGTGTTTTCCGATAGTTATGGCTATATTTGTCACAAACGTGAAAGTTATGGCTATACAAGTGTATTTTGCCAACTTTAAACTCTAAATCCTAAATCATGAATGGTAAAAGGAATCTTACTCTACAAGAAAATTGTCGTTTCACATCAATTTTGTTGTGTTGGTTCAGCTAACCAACAACAAATCTCTATTTTCCGTCGTTGTACTATCGAATCAAATTTTGGTAATTTTGTATTGGTTTTGTTAAAATTTAAAAATGACACAGGTTTTAGTTTTGGAGGAATAAATTTGAATTTTTTTATTGATTTCCCTCTCA